ATAAAAATATATAATTTTATATAAATATAGAAAAGCAAAATGTTTATTATCTTGAGATGGAATAAGCATTGAAAACTTCTGAAGTGACCCCAAGTCAAAACTCCCTCTGTCTTTCAGACTAGATTGGTACCTGTACTGTCTGATGAGGTTTCAGTTTTGAGGGAGAGGGAGATGCTTTAATCAAATTAATTGGCATGAAAAGTCTGACTAAAAATGAGAAAATTATATATTCCTAAGAAAGTTAATGCCTATCAACTTTAGCTCAGATGTACTTGAGAGGCAATAATTAATCAGCGGGTTCTTGAATAATTTAATATTTCAGGCTGTTTTAATTGGCAGGGCACTTATAGCTGTGCCAGCCTGCTGGATGTCGAGATGCGGAAGGGCTGGGGCTCCCCTGGCTGGAGCTTTAGGAGGTTGCTCTGCACACAGCTCTGTTGCCAGTGTCAGGAATGCAGACTAAGGCTTTATCTTTAATTTTTCGAGACACTTGAAATTTTCAAGTGTATCTTCATCTTCTAAAGGAAAAAATACACATTTTGTTCTAGTTATTTCTGGCTTTGACATTGTGTTTAGTCCCTCCTGAAAGTGGAAGGGATTACTCGTATAAAACTTCCTTTTTGGCAAGTGAGTTCTGTAGGCTGCAGTTACCTGCCATTACTCCTGAGCCTGACAAAGCTCTTTTCTCTTGAGTGTCCTGTTCAATCTCCATTTAATTTTTTGTTCATCATTTATGGAGTTATTATATTTCATCAAAAGAATAATTAACCTTAGAGTAGGTAATTTATTAAAGCACAATTTGGAAAGTAAATAAAAACACATATTCAATGTGGAGTTTTTTTCCTCTTTTAATTTTTTTCTCTTTACTCCATTTTCAGGTACTTCTTTCACTTAGTTTGGTTCCAGAAATCTTACACTGATGTTTGAACAGCAGTAATTTGTTATTACAGATCAGATGGTTATGTCTTGTTTTCTCCTTTGAAATGAAAACTGATTTACTGTCAGGGTTCTACAACTGAGACTGGGATTTAGGAGGAATTAAAAAAGGGTGGTCTATCTGCCTGCCCCATATCGAGGGCAAAAACACACTAAGGGATTTTTAAGAGATTCTTCAGGGAAGCCATTAGAAAATTTCAGAACTACATTTATTTTTAGCTTTAGATTTAGAATTATCTGTTACAATTCAGATCAGGATCCATATCTATTTTGAGACAGAATATAGTGTATGAGAATGCATTTCTGATCCATTCCAAAGCTTTCCCTGACTATTTCAGAACTTAGAGTTCTCTTGTGCATGAAAAGCCAGTGCCCATATTAATTCTCCCAGACATTCTTGTAGAGGTTGAGCCCTCAGTGATTTGCTCCTTAAGAACTGGTTTTCATAATGCTATACTGGTTTAGCAGCCTTTGCCAGTGGGGATACTTTGTGAAAAAGAGCCCATCTGACAGTGAAAAGGAAATTTAGGGTTATAACTCAAAACTTTTGATTTACTATTAGTTGAGCAGCTTAGTTTGAGGGATGCTTTGTTTTAGAAATAAAAGATACTTGATTATAATTTAGAGTGCTGTAAGTCTGAAAAGAAGGTAGATTTTTTTTTCTGCCTCATAGACTATTTTTAGCCTAGCAATAAATTGCTGTTTTCTCTACATGAGGAAAAGAGCTGTGGATCAAGTCCTCAAATGCAGTGTTACTTTGAATATTAAAAATCTGGTACCTAAATAAGAGCATGCAGGTAGAGCCTGCACTAGCAGCTGCTTGTCCTTGTATTGGATCTGAAATGGAAATCCTGCTATTTTTGGAGGTGTTTGAACTCACTGCTTTGTATTAAACTGCTGAAACGTGTGGAAATTGAAGGCTTTTTTCTCTCTGTTTTCAGATATCTGCTTATGAGGACTCAGTTGCTGCTCATCTTGCAAAAATTCTCAATTCTGATCAGCACTCGGTTGTCATATCATCTGCCAAGTGAGTTACTGCTTTTGTGTACCATGTGTGGGATCAGTCCCCTGGGTAACATCATCACCATAATAACCTTCTGTCTATGCCTGATTCTCTTATGTCAGACCCAGCTGGCTTGGCTTAATGTGTCTTGATTTCTGTCTTTTAGAATGGATGTGTTTTCTGCAAAATTTTTATCTGGTACAATTGTAAGGCAGAGCTTAATACTGAACACATGAATGTTTTTAAAAATCACATAATACTAGGATGAAGTGATTTTAAATCACTCCAGGTCAGCATGCAGCTTAAATATGAAACTTACTGCTACTAATGCGAGTATGGGATCTACTTCACACTCTTTTTCTTCTCTTTTGTTTTATGCATATCCATGTCTTTAGCAGAACAAACAATTTCACTAATGTGAAGCAGAACTTCAGTCTAGGTCGCTTTGTAATAGATCTGTCTATATCAATCCAGTCAACAGTGGTCTCAGACAACAGGGTTCTTTTCCCAAAATTGAAACACTTAAAAGAGATAATGACTTGGCAAATCATGGGCATCATCTGAAATCAGATATATTCTGTGTATGCCTTCTCTGTGAAAAAAAAAAATGTTATATTTTGTGATATGCAAAAGACCAGTCATATAATTTGCAAAAATACATCTGAGTGTCATTATGTCTCTTTTTTTAATGCTAAAAGCAAGTTTAATGTAATTTCGTTTTTAAAGTCTACATAGCACATGTTGAAAATTAAATTGCAGGATATTATTATAGCTCCAGATCCTAAATTGTGTCTGTATCTTGTTAAATCTATTTAATTTCTGGCAAATAAATTTCAACCAAATGAACAGTACTGAACAATTATCCACACCTTGTCAGGGAGTTTGCTGTCTGCCTACAGTGTAAGGTAATAAGACCCAAGTCTTTGATTTATTCAATGAAAATTCATTGCAGCCACTGTGGTTTGCACAGGCCTCAGGGTCAGCTGTGGTTCAAAAGCATGAGCTGTGCAGTAGGGGGTGTGTGGCCATGTGCTTTCAGCTAAGTGGTGCTCTATTTAAATCAGAAGTTTTTCTCCATGGTTTGTAGGCTCCACCTCAGCACGGGAGTTTAGAAGGTTGTGTTTGGAGTTAAAGGGAATGTACGTTTGCTGGCTCCTCTGATATGGAAGGTGTACAAGTGTACAATATGGAATGGATAAAATTAGTGGTGCTTATTTCAGCACTTAGAAGAAAGAGACTTAGATACAATGTGTGCAAAGGCTTAAATAAAAGGGTGGAAGAGTTTTTATTTTAAAGCTTATCACCTGAATTTTGCAAGCCATGGAAGAGAGTATCATCTGCTTTGCGGGTGTGAACCCAGAGTTCGGTTTCCAGCATGAATGATGTAACCAGCATGCATATAAATAAACTGCCATGAGAACATTCAAAATGTATCCATTTTATTTTGTTTGTTTTCTTCCCTCTCCTTTTGTTATCTGAAGAATATTATGTGAAACTGTAAAGGACTTTGTTGCCAAAATAGGGAAGACTTATGAAAAAACGATGGAAAATGCAGAGGAAGCTGATGCCATGGCCATTAAAGTAAGACTGTGACTATGTTCTGGTTTGAAGTTGTGGATTTTTAAAGTTTTATAGCTTATGAGTGTTTAATGTTTCAGTTGATCCAGGATCCCCAGCTTGGCTTTCATTTCAATCAGTGACATCAGAATGCTTCTCTTGTTGCATAGAACAGTTGTTTCCAAACCATCTTTAAGATCTCTCTAAACTGTTTACACTTTTTTTACTTCCTGAAGGGTAAAGATCTCAGTAACATACATAGAGATAGGAAAGCAATGGGATAATGAAGAGACAAGTGTGCTGGGAGAATGAAGGGAGGAGAGACTGCAATGTTAAAAATAATGGTTTTAGCTGCAAATTGTGGAGATCATGTTGCAGAATCGTTGGGGGGAGAAAAAAAACACGGAAGGGTTTGGTATGAAGCACAGTATTTACATGAGCTGAAGAGAGAAGAAGACAAAATCACTACCAATCCCAGAGTCAGGAAATGTAGCTGCCAAATGGCAGTTAGTGGTTCAGGTTTCTATTAGGTGCACATTTTGGAAAATGACTTTTTCTCTCTTACTGTTCCAAGGCATGTCTCCATTCATTCTCTCTCCAGGCTGGGGTACTGAGCACCCATCGTTTCACATAACGCATGCTATGGGCAAGTCTGTGGTGGTTCTCTGTGCTGCAGGCTCTTGGGAGAGGAGGAGGATCAAATCTGTATCCTAGTTATGTGGCAGGCTGAGTATAGCATGGTGTGTTATTTTAATCTGAGTGTAGGGTGGGGGTTGTTACAATTGCTAGAATCTGGTTGAGTGTCACAGGGTATGCCTGCAAAAAGCCATGCAAACATACCTATAATCTGAAATTCCAAAATGTTGAACCTAGGTTTGGATTTTACATAAACAATTACATAGACACTTAAGACACTGACAGTTTTAAACATAATCTGGCATTTAATTTCCTGGAAATATTCACACATTCACTATTTTTTTGTGTGTATATGTATTCTTTTCCACTTTGTCTCAGTGCTCAGAGTTAAATGAGAAGCTAGACTTACTGCTCCAGGCTCTTCACACAGAAGCCCAGGCTGCTCCCATTCTCCCAGGCATCACTCCCCCCATTGTGGAAGAAGAGGCAGAGGAGTTTTCAAGTGAAGAATCCTTGTCTGAAAGTAAAGAGCAATTAGCAGACTGTGTCTCAAAGTCTTCCACCCAGAAACTCTTCAAACCAAGGGAACAGTTAATGCTCCGGGCGAACAGCTTGAAGAAGGCTGTGAGGCAGATCATTGAGCAAGCAGAAAAAGGTGCACAGTGGTCCTTGCAGATGGAATAATGATGATTTATCTTTTTTTTTTTTTTTTTTCCTAAACTAGCATAAATTTTCATTATTAAAGTTTGATTTCTGCATTCTTGCATAGATAAAATTATGTGCTTGTTATGAGCTGCAAGGAAAAGAAATGCAGCTTCTTTGGATGTTGGTGACTGTCTTCACAGAGGAATATGTATATGTGTGCACATATAAAAGCATGCTTCCTTTGTAACTGTCATCCTCTAGAAAATGAAAATGTCTGGCATCAAATCATCAATGGGCAAAGAGTATCTAGACTTTTTCACTGAATTGGCAATAGAAATCTCTTGTTAGTATTTTAAAACTTAAAGCTACAGAAAAAAAAGAAGCTGATTTTCCATATATGCAGTTTTTCATTAAAAATCTTGAAATTTTCTGTCATTCTTTTTAATAAGCAGTTGTCGATGAGCAGAATGCTCATACTGAAGAACAATTGAACCAGTCTCCACTGGAATACAACAAAGAATTGGATGACTCCAAAGAAGAGGAAAAAGAGGAAGACACAAAGGAACTTGAGTCCCCATCAAGTGAGTAAATTAGAACTAAAATAATTTAAAATTATGCTGTCTCCTTATAGTTGCATTATGGAGCATAGTTGTCTCCAGAATTAAAAATACTGACATCCTGTTTCACTGGAAACTAGTCACAAATTTTGATAGATTTGGATAAATGAAAGTTAAGGATAAGATGATGGAGATGAGATGACCAGTCTTTTGGAATGTATTTACAAATCTGAGAAGGCATTTGTTGGGGAAGGAAGTGCCTTCATTTAGTTCAGTGTTTACACTCTCAGAATCCCCCAATGAGTGGCTGCAGTAGAAGAGGGATGGACAACTTCTCTATACAGGACCCCCATGTACCTCCTCCCTTACCTGCTTTTGGCACAAAGCCAATCCAGTCAGAGGTTATATTTGGAGATTTTCCATCACAAACGTCAATACTGCATTTTGTGTTGACTGGTAGTTCATGTGCCAGAGGTGCTTGAGGGTCTCAAGCTGTGTAATGATTTTAGAAAAGCTGCTTCTTGCTATAGGTGGAAATTTCAATCTTTGCCATATTACCTCAGTGGCCAGCGATGCATTGCAGGGGAGGTCTCAGGATGATCTGTGGGTCATGGAGAAACAGTGGTAGGTGGTGGACAGCAAAACCCATCCCCTAAATGCTTGGTGAGCAACTTCCTGTGGAAAATGAGCAAGGTTGTTTGGAATTTGCATCTCCTGTTGCACTAACCCAAACCAACATCCTCAAAAGGTGTTGTCCTCATGAGGCTTCATTCTGAGGCTGGTGCCTGTGTCAGTCACTCCTGCCTTAGAAATATGCTATTAATCTCTTGGGGAATCTTGTGGATTCAGAATCTCACATTTCCATTTCTCCAGGAATGGGTGTCAGATGTTTTGCAGTGATTGTTTCTTCATTGGCCCCTCTGCTTTTCCCTTGGTCATAGGAATGAATGTTTGTTGGTTGTCCAGTTCCAATAGTAGCTCACAGAAGATAATGGCCTGGTGGATGACTGCCATAAATATATAATAAAACTAAAATATACACATATATATATATCTCCTTATGTAGAAATAGATATATAAACCCCTTGTTTCTTGATGATACAGTTTCCCTGTTTATTGAGGAACTGTATTATTCTTCATATATCTGATAGGTGTGAACAGAGTGCATATTAATGCTCTATGTGGAAGATAGGTGTTTAGGGACAAAGCATGAAACATGAATTCAATTATCTGCAATGAAACATCAGTTTTACTCATTAGGGCTCTGTTGTTTTTATCAGAGCATGAACAACAAAAGTTTATCTTTATTGCAGTTATCCCCATGAGTCTCATCTGTCAAATGAAGAGCAGCTGCTCTCTTGATTTTCCTATTTAATATAACTGCCTTGCTCCCAAGTACAAAGACAGCAGGCTGTGTGCATAGCATTGTGAATTTTTCAGTAGCATTATGAAAAATGAATGTTAATTTTGTTCTGAATATTATATTTTACCCTCCAAGGATCTTCCTGGTCATTTAACAAAGATTTTTTTTTTTTCCATATGTTAATTATCTTCAACTAAATATTTAATAACTCTCATTACATGTCACTTGCAGTTTTCATTCCTTTTCAGTTTTTTAACGTTATTACAGTGTTTTGTCAAGCCCAGCTACAAACCATTCTGTTGTATTGTCATCATGCAATACTCTAGGTTTTTGTGATAGCTGGTCAGGCTGTTACATAGGTGCTACAGTCAGAAGGAGCTGTTAGTTCAGATATTTCATATAAAGCAATCCAGAAGATTTCACCCGGTTATCTCTGTCATGCGTCTAATAATTTCTCTTTGGCTTAAGCAGGTCATCCAGAAAGGTGTGTAAATTTGTTCCTGGGATACAAGAGGGTGAAGAGTTTGCCATTTCATTGACTGTTCCATGCTAGATTATCATCACTTTAAAAAATGAATGGCCTAATCCAGACCTCCATTCATTTGAACACCATTTCTAAACTGCTTCTTGTTATTACCTTTGTCTCTAGATTTTCCCACTCTGCATTTTCTTTCCATTAGTGTCTCCACACAGCACACCCACGCTGCTCTCGGGCTGAGCTGTCGTGATTGACATGAACTGGTCAGTCCCCTCCTGGCACAAATAAGGGTATATTTTATCCTTTCCACCACGTTCCTGGCGGTGTTTTTCTTCTGCTTTCTTCCTCATCGTTCTACTTCTATTGAATTAGTTTCCATGTTTTGAGAGGACTGTATCAGATAACTTTGAAGGAATTATTTTTTTGTTTTGTTTTGTTCTGAGCTTCTTCAGATGGCCAAGGTTGAAGTTGTCCTAAGCTGAAGTGTTTTTAACATGTGAGATAACTTGGAGCAGAGGTAGCCAAGACATGTCTGTTTGTGATCATCTGCTGTGGAAAAGCTTTCTACAAGCACATGGAAGTGCTACAGCAAAGCATTTGACAGTATCCAAACTTTCTCCTCTGGGGCATCAGTTTCTGGCAGTGTTGGCCCAGGCTGATTTTCACAGATTCCTCCTCCATGCTAAGGGAGGCATGGCTGTATTCTCTCAGTCTGCATGAAATGAGTTCTGCCAGAAAGATGAATGACAGCACCTGAGGTCAGCCCTCTGGAAAGCTGATCTGTCTTTGGCATCTCCAGAGGTAGCCCCAGGGGTGATTTCCCTCCGTGAGCTACCTGCTACTCCTGGTGGACATTTTCTCTTTCCCCTTAATTTTCTTCCTCTTCTTCTTCTCCAGTCTTTGTCACCAACAATTACATCAGCTACCAAATCTGGCTATCTGTCACAAGGTTTTATTGATCCATCTTCTGGAGAATTGTAACAAATAAGTTATTTCAGTTATTTTGGGAATTGCTGGGGGTTTATTGTGAAAAAGAAAAGATGATGGGAGGCATAGCCTCCACAGTCTCTTTAGCTGCAAAAGACAAATAGATCTGAACATGGCTTTTTCACTTCCCTTACAGTTTTCAGTGTGGCTGTAGATAAAGATGTCAGAGTTTTGTCTGCTGCAGACAAACCTGATGCAGGCAGGGGCCCCATTTTATCTGCTTGAAGCAAATGGTGTGGCTATTGATCTGGTATTTCCATGGCCTATTGGTTAGAAGAGCTACCTATATTAAAATTGTTATAAATAATATTATACTATGTAACATAACTAAATATTGATTGAATTAAAGTTTAAATTCCTATTACTTCATTGACATGTTTGTCGGAAGCTTGCTATGGGCTTAAGTTCTATTTAATTTTAAGGTGGATATAATGCAGTTTTTGATGGTAGTTTGAAGCATAAATTGGGAACTCCTCATACTGAATGCCATGCAAACTTCTTTATTTTAATTTGTGCTTGTCACTTGATCTGTTTCTGAGTTTTCTTTCCCACATCTAGAAGAAACACTTGTGTGAGGGGGAAGGACATTTGTCATGTAATGGTAACTGATTAAATTAATGCTTTTGAAATATACTCAGGGCTATAAAAAATGTATTTGTTAATTTCATAATAAGTCTAATGAGTGCTCTTTTACCTCTTCTGCACAGCTAAAACTGCACCAAGGTCTCCAGATCGACGTACGAGCCGCGGTGTCCATTCTCAGACGGGCTCTTTCTCAGCTCCAGCTTTGGCTGCAAGCAAGGAGAACCTCCCAGTCCTTAACACTAGGATCATCTGCCCAGGTAGTTCTGATTCTGAAATCTGCTGCTCCTTGCACTGCCTTAGTATTGCTTTCTGTTCCCCTGCTTCCTGTCAGATTACAATTTTTACCTGATACTCTGATTTTGTTTGAACCAACATAGTAGACATCCTAATAGGAAATGCAAAATAACGTGGAAGGTTGCTGATAGTTTGGCACAGCACTAGATGTACCAGCAGTGTTGTGTTTGATTCTGGAGGATGAAAAATGAAATTCAGGGTTTTGCAATCACAGAATCACACAGTGGTTTGATTTAGAAGGGACCTCTGAAGATCATCTAGTCCAACCCTTGGCCATGGTCAGGGACATCTTTCAGTAATTTCTTCCTTATATCCTATTAAAATCTACCCTCTTTTAGTTTAAAACCATTGTCCCTTGTCCTGTCATTACAGGCCCTGACTAAAAAGTCTCTCAGTCTTTCATATAAGCCTCCTGTAGATTTTGAAAGCCATTGTAAGGTCTCCATGGACCCTTCCGTTGCCCAGGTAGAACAACCCAAAACTCTCTCAGCCTTTCTTTACGGGAGAGGTGTTCCAGCCCTCTGATCATTTTCATGGGCCTCCTCTGGACCAAATCCAACAGGTCCGTGTCTTTATTGTGCTGAGGAGCTCAGAGCTGGATGCAGTGCTCCAGGTGGGGTCTCACGGGGCAGAGATGAAGGGTGGAATCACCTCCCTCCACCTGCTGGCCACACTTCTCTTGATGCAGCCCAGGTTTGCCTTCTGGACTGTGAGAAGACATTGTCAACTCATGTCCAGTTTTTATCCACCAGTATCCCCACGTCCTTCTGTCATTTTCATCCTGATCAATGGAGGCTGGGAAGGGTCTGAGGGACAGAGCCATGTAAAGTTCAACCCTCTGAATAAGGGGTGTCTGTAGATACCTCTCTGAAAGAGGACAACTGAAACTACAAAAGCTGCTGCATGCTAAAAACAGTTGCAAAAAAATCTATTCTTATCCAAATACAATTAATACTAGGAACATCAGTAAAACACTGTTTTATTAACTTCATTAGTATAGCTAAAACATAATGGAACTGAGCTGGCATTTTTCTTTTAAGTCACCTTATGTGAATGTTTTTAGAAAGTGCTTGTTATCTTTCCTGTGCACTACACAGTGTGTTGTGGAGTGACATCAGCATTGGTCAAGGTAGGCATGGCTGTGATCTTCCTGCAAATTAAGTTATTAAACTATGACTCTACCAGTTGGGCAAAGTGAAGGTATTCCTTAAGAATACTTCCAAAGGAAAGTATCAAAGGAAAATCATGGACAGTTTGGAGGTGAAGATGAAACTAAATGAAAAGCTCTAGTAGTCTGGATGTTAGGTAACCCATGGATTTGGTGAATATACCAGCAGTGAGTGTTGACCTGAAATCTTGTGGTTTTAATAATTTTTTTTTTTTTTTTTTTATTTCTTGGTGGTGGTACCTGAAGAGTCAGGCACCCACCACAGCATGGCTATCTGTCTGCTCAAGAGAGCCAGAGACCTGAAAAAATAACCTGTGTAGGTAAAAACTGAGATAGAAACACAATCATTCCCTACAGAAATACAGAAATTTGATGGATTTTGTCTCTCAGTATGTGGTTTATATTATGACAATATATGTTTCTCTTCTTATCAAACACGAAGTGATATTTTGTTATTTTTCTGTTTGTTTGGGTTTTTTTATTAGGTTTGAGGGCTGGTCTAGCTGCTTCTATTGCAGGAAGTTCAATTATCAGCAAAATGTTGCTGGCAAACATCGATCCATTTGGTGCTACGCCGTTTATTGACCCAGATCCAGATTCCTTGTAAGAAACATCTTTTATTCCAAACTTACTGTTTTGCTTTAGTTTGCTTTTCTTAAGATTTAATTTTTTACTTTTTTGTAATCTTTGGTTTTTTTCACCTTTTGTCATTTTTTTTCATTGTGCAGTTCTTGTTTGCTGTCATTTGGTAGTAGGCCTCAAGGCCTGAGAACCGGCTGGGTTGTGCTGCTTTAGTTCTGAGCAGAGCAAAGTTCTCTTGCAGCAGCAGGGATAATAGAGGGCATTTGCTCACTTAGCCCTCACTCACTCGCTCTGGGAGGAGGAGGAGGACAGCAGTCTGTCAGAGCTGGGTTTTCCTGCCCGAACTGTTGGTCAGAATGCAAGCTCAGCTGCCAGTAAGATGTTGAAGCAGGTCTGGGCAGTTTGTAGTAGAGGGAGAAGAGTGTTCCCTCAAGGACTGGAGCACTGAGGTGGGAATTTCACATCTTAAGCAGTCTGCTTCCCAGAACTGGGTGTAGCGTTGGCAGAAATTTCTGGATGGTATCTGGGCTGTGGGCCGTGGCTCCCCTAAAACAAAGCACTGCTGTGCCAGCAGCATCAGCCAAACACCCAGCACCAGCGTGCCCAAACACAGCCCGCGTGCTTGGCCCGATGTGGTGCTGCTGTCTTGGAGCCGTGCCAGGGGCAGCTCCTTCCTCGTATCCCATGGTTGTTCTAGGTGTGTTGGAGACAGTGCTGGATGGGGGTGAGGTACAGTTTCTTCTTTGCCCTGTGGGAAGTAACTTTTACTCACAAAAATGTAGCAGCCAATCTGTCTCTTTACTGCCATTGGGTTTCCTCAGGGTGATTCAAAGAAAGCATCTGCTGACGTGTCTTGGTTGATGCATCTGTTCTGAGACTAACCCCAATCTTGGTCAAAGGTCTGTGTATCCAGGCACTGTACGAATGTACACCTGATTATCTCTTTTCTTCTAACAGGGAGGGATATTCAGAAAAATGTGTCATGAACAACTACTTTGGAATTGGGTTAGATGCAAAAATTTCACTAGAATTTAATAACAAGCGAGAAGAGCACCCTGAAAAGTGCAGGTAATATAACTGTCAGTAACAGAACCAAGATGTTTCCATTATTTTTTTTTTTCTTATCCCTTTATTTGAGTTTGTTAACTTCTCATCCTACAAACACAAGACGATAATGTGTAATTTCAATATTTAAGTCTTGTTTACCTGTTTTACCTGTTTTCAGAAGTCGGACAAAAAACATGATGTGGTATGGAGTTCTTGGCACAAAAGAGCTACTGCAAAGAACTTACAAGAACTTAGAACAAAAAGTTCAGCTTGAGGTAAATTTTATTTATGGGCAGAATGAGTATTTTTGATTCAATGTGTAGTGAAGAATTTGGGCTTCCTCTTGAAACCTTTTAGAGTTCTTGTGTCCACCCAAGCTGACTTTAAAGCCACTGTGTAAAAATGTGCTGTGTAAGGTCTGGTTCCCCAGGTGTTTCTTTTGAGTAAAATGTTAGTACTTAAATATCACTAAATACCCAGTAATAACATTTCTTGTAATTACTGAGGTTTTTATAAAAAAATATTATATTTCTTAATGTTCACTGCATCAAAGGGGGACACAGTAGCAGAAACGAACATACATGAAACAGAAGGAAAGAGGTAAAGAGTTAAAATCCTTCAGGTTCATTTTAAACTATCTGAAAGTTTAATTACACATATGGGCAGAGCACACAGATGATCTCTGTCAAAAATACCTGACAGAAGAGGGGAGATTCTGAATGTGTAGTGTGAGAAGCCCAGCTACACCAGTAGGGACTTTCTCCAACAGATGTCTGAGACATTCACACAAGTGAAGCAAGATACTACCAAAGCAACAACAAATGCAGTGTCAGTTACCTAAACAAGGTTTTTTTGGGTTTTTTGTTTGTTTGTTTGTTTGTTTGTTTGTCTATAATGTCAGATCTAAGACTTCTTCAAGATACTGGGAGGTTAAAAGAGATCTGAAATATTACCAAATGCAGAAAAAGACTACGGGGTGGTTGCAGTTATTTTCACTCAAAGAACATCTAGGCTGGATTTTGACAAAGAACACACAGAATTTCTCTTTTTACTTCATGCTAGTATTTCATATGGAAGTTCACAATATTTACATGAAGGTAACTTTTTAAGTAGAAAGAATGACTTTAAGTTACTGGACCTCATTCTCTCTCCTCTGAGATTTAGAAGGATTTTGTCTGTTAGCATCAGATTGCTGTTACCTAAGGACTGAGTAATTATCAAGGAATTATGCAGTAGTCAGCAAATATAATGACAGGAAAGAATGTTATGCATGCTGCAGATAGAATTCTAATTTAAGGATCTTTTGAGTAAGATTGAAATAAGATTGAATAAGGCATTCAAATCTAACCTTTCCATAATTACTCTTGAATATTTCTGGAAGTCAACCAGCAAGTAGAAATTTCTTATTTAGTATTGCCTTGCACAATATTAGCCTTATGCTAAAATGTGCGATGAGGTGCACAGCACTGTAAAATTAAAAATATCAATTTCAGGAATTGGAGCCAGACCTCTACTATAATAAAAATGACTGTGCAGCATCTATTAATAACATAGCATATTTTGGATACTGTCATATTTTGATTAAAATGTTAAATTCTGTCTTGTTGCTGAGATAAATCATAAAAAGAGAGCACTAAGTATGTTCTAGAAATAATTTTACATCTCTTTTTCCTCTTGATAAAATTGCTACAGATTTTCACATATTTCTTGAGGATTTCCATGGAAATTGTGTAATTTTAAGATACTTCTGTGGGATGGGTAACTTGCAGTACCCTAGCAATCTTCTGTGAAGGCAGCTTCACCCACAAATTCATGATCTGCAAAGTGACACATGCATCCAGCATTTGTGACCTTATGTTTCAGACTTACTTCAAAGCCACACTGGTGGCACTACTGCAGGGCTGCACTTTTGACTCCCTGATGAATGGTTTTAGATCATGGAGCTCACCCCTGCAGACAGTTGTACTGCTGTAGGTCAAGGGTGATTTCAGTGATGTCTGTAAATTTACTCTTGGCCATAAGTAAGGTGAGGTTGTCCTATGTCATGAGTGTGTTGAGTAGGTCTTTGAGTTGCTCATGGATTTTGGAGGATAAAGAAGTAAGAAAAAAGGCTGAACAGTTGGTCATAGGAGCAACCTCTTGCCTGTAAAATCAACAACTCCTACCCACAGCCAGGGTAAACATCCCTGGGCTCAGTCCTAGATTTGCCTTTGCATTTTTGGGAGGAGATTGAAGTTGTTTTTCCAGGAAGCCAAGCGTACAATGCTAACAACACTTATATTTACAACTACATGTTTGTGGCTATGGCAGAAATATTTTTTAATTTATTAAAATTATACACACACACCCCCTTTTAATGGATTTACCTGAATAACAAGTTTATTGCAGTTCTGATAATGCTGTTATAGGATGGAAGGTAGAGTAGTTACTGAATGGGTAAATGAAACTTTTTGTAATGTCCACTGTGATCTTACTGTGTGCACTGAGGGAGACACTTTTTGGGCTGCAAGAAGACTTTTGGTCCTTGGTAGACAGAGCATGGTCTAAGTGCATGAGGAATTTCACAGTAAGGGACGTGAAGATGTTTCTTGGAGGAGTTGGGGCATACCTCTGCTGTAGATCCTACAGTATGTGGGATCCACATGTTGGTCATCTTTGCAACAGCCGGTGCCCAGGTGGAGGAGAAGAGGTTTGTGTTAGAGGTGCCTCACAGCACAGAGAGAATTGTCTTGTCTCAAGCCTGTTAATGACTCTCCTCCCCTGCCAGCTCTGTTGAAGCTTCATGTGTTAAAAATGGCTATTTTTATCACATTATTTATATACTGAATGAACTTTTATCCATTACAGTGTGACGGACAGTACATCCCCCTTCCAAGTCTGCAGGGCATAGCTGTGCTAAACATTCCCAGCTATGCTGGTGGGACTAATTTCTGGGGTGGAACCAAAGAGGATGATGTGAGTAACGTTAAAAAGAAGTAACTTTCTGGGCGAGACCAGCAATAAATACCATTAACTACTCTTCTCATTTAATTTTATAGTTTGAATAGCAACTCTGATTCAGGGAGACTCTTTAAGCTTAAACTGTATTGTCTTGTTGATTTTCTAAATGAAAATATATCCCATGATTTTTAACCATTTATTCCCTTCTGCCATGTCCATTCCAGCAAAATGTTCATAATAAGGCTTAATGATTTTCTTCTAAATTTGCTTTAGGTGTATTTTTGGAAACTAATTTTGTAGACAGAGACACAAATAGTTTCTCTCTGTATTGTTTAAAACCTCTTGTAAACAGGGTTTCTCAAAGCATAGATTCTTCTGTTTGCCATCTGACAATAATCAAGCTAGACAAGGATAATAACTCACAGTTTATACCTGAATTTTCCTCCTGTTCTTCAAATGACTTTTGATTAGGGGATGGTGATTCAGAAAATGAGGACTGCTGCATTAACTGACTGATAATTTAGTGGGGGTGATAATCCTTATTAAATATTATTTTCAATGAGCATCTAAAATATTTTACGATATCTTTTTACTCTTCTTCTCATGTCTCCTAACTAATGTTACACTACAGAAACACTTAAATGTCCCACAGCTTTGAAACAGCGTTACTGCTGCCATCCTCTTCACTCACAGTGCAACAATTGTAATTACTAGCAGATTATCCTGATTCTGGATGTCCTGGTTTAAAGTGTGTGAGGTCTGAGTCACCTAAAACTAGTTGCAGATTAGTTTGTGATTTTAGCATAGACAATATCAGGACTTTTCCTTTGCCAAAATGCTTTCACTTTCTTGTGAGTTAGCTGTTGCTGTAATTTTTACATATATATATGTATATATATGCACACACACATATATAAAAGTAGCAAAAAGTATTTAAATTTTTCAATCTCCTTTGTCATTTTTAATAGATGTCAGAGGGTGGCAGTTTTGTTTAAATTTGGCTATGGATATCTAGAGGTTTTATATACTCCATGTTCATATTCATAACTTGAAAGCATCCCTAACATCTGCTCAGCTCCTGTTCCAGAGTTTATTTTTCTCTCTAAACTGTCTCCCTGAGAGAGATCTGTCCTAGCTGTCATACTGGTATACAGCAGATGTGGGTGTCTTGAAGCAGTTTTACTGGTAGTCTTTGACTTTTGCTGATCAGATGTACCAGCAAAGTGTCACGTTTGTTCTGGGCAGAGTAGCAGCATAATTCACTGCTTTCGTACAGTCTGGACTGACTGATCATCAGAGGTGGTGGTGATGGTCTGAAGTGCTCCTGGTCCTGCTTATCTGGACAAAACAAAGATGTTTCCTTGGCAGCTGTGCCTATTCCTGAGACGTTCTTGGTGAGCAGAGCAGGGCAGCTGCACACCGACCGCCTCGAGTGCAGCTTCTTCAGTCATGCTTCTCTGGAGCCCAGAAGGCAGGCTGGAAATGTGACCTCCAACAGGAAAGGAGGGAAATTGTTTCTTGAACATTGATCTGTAGAGATTTGGTTGCCTTTATTAAATTAAAAAAAAAAAAAAAAGTTGGGTTTCAGATATGTTTTACTGGTAGAGAGACACAGCAGACTGGGCTGTGTGGATTGTGATTTGCTCATCCTTTTGCTAGAATGGAAACACAAAATAAGTCAAATTTTGCAACTACTTTTCCTTAACCTGTGCAGAACTATCCCTGTAGATAACAGTTATTCATGTTAAAGCTGGATCAGGACTCTGTACTTTTTACCTTGGAATAACAGAATCCTTGTCTTTGCTTTTTTCAAGACATTCATATTCTCATGTGAAAAAACCTGAAAAATTTCCATGGAAATTAGAAGGATTCAGGTGGAGAAACCTTTTGCTTCAAAACACTCTAGACCTAGCAAAATTTCACTTTCATTCTGTAGCACTTATCTACTCCAGACCTATCTACCTATGCACTCCTGGGATGCCCTGAAGGGAAGTGCCAGCTGAATGTGGCACCAAACTATGCTAGCTGTGCTGTGCAGTGCTGCCCCTGAGAAGCCCTCTCCAGCCTCCTCCCAGAGCCACTGCTGACTGCGCTGGGGGAAAGGCTCCCACTGGCATGGGAGCAGAGATGAAAATCCCTCCTCCTGTTCTCCATCCCTTCCCTCCCTGAGCTATTGCTGCAGGCACTCTCTGGATTACACAGTCCTGGATCTACACCCCCTTATTCTTCACCTCCAGGAAATCCTCTGTCTGGGACAGGATCTGACTAGTTGTGGCTTTTGAGCTGCTTTCAGGGATTTTCTCCACTCTCATCTCAGGTATCTGTGATGCAGCTTGCTCTGCCCAAGCTGCCAGCTGAGGTAGTCTAAGTACCACTCAGGGAGGTGAGCTCTGCCTGTTAAACTCATACTGGAGTGATTGCTGCTGATGGTTTTTCTCCCCTGTTGCTCCCTGCTGCATGTCAGGATGAAATGGTCAATCTTCAAGTGACCTTAGCGTGGTATCCCCTGACTCAGTTGAAGTGTAGCCTGAGACTTGTCCCATGTCATGGCTGAACTCCCCTGCAGGAAACCAGGTGGCAGTGGCACACGCAAGGCTTCCTGTGCTTCCTGTAAGCTCATGGAAATACAGCATCTTGGCTGGATATCAGGATGTTGGTTCTATAAAGAAGCATCTTTCATATTTACAGTGGATAATCATATACAGTGCAAGTAAGATCCTCTTCAGCATGAAAGCTGCTTAGCAAAGCTGAGTGTGGATTCAGATGGTGTTTTCCAGAGAGTTCAGAACATAAGAAGATAAGCACTTCAGAAAAAAGACACCATTGCTCCTCAATTTCAAGGACCTCTTAGGTATTAAGTATGTTAACAAAGCAGAGATTTAAATTGGTCTTTCATCTTGCCTTGAAAAACATTTCTTAGTCTGCATGCTGAAACATGCCGTTATTCCTATATAAGGATGTGCCTTGTCATTCAGGTATTTGAGATGCTGTTGGCATTGCTGTTTTAAAATATTATTTGTCTACTGTATCTCACTCCTATGACTTTTGAAAGACAGCATAGATACTCTACAGTAAATAAGTTAAACCATTTAAATGTTGAAAACAAATCTAAATGAATTTGTATTTCATTGAACACGCAACCTAAGCACTAGATTTACCACCAAAATGTAATATTTTCCTTTTAGATATTTGGGGCTCCATCATTCGATGATAAAATCTTAGAAGTGGTGGCAGTATTTGGCAGCATGCAGATGGCAGTTTCAAGAGTCATCAAACTGCAGCACCACAGGATAGCTCAGGTTTGTGTCTTACCTGAATGCATGCAGCATGGTTGGCAGCAGTTTGGGGTGTTGGCAGGCGCTGCTGCTCTCGCTGACCCCCCCATACATTAATAAAGTGCTGACATTGTTGTAGTTTTAACGGGGAACAAATTGGCTGCAATGAGGAATGAAGTATAAAAGTCCTTCTTCCTTGAGATGGCGCTGGAGGAAAGCCACAGCTCCTGAGAATCAACACATTTTGGGTGGCCCATCAGACTGCTGAGGCTCTGTTGCTGTGTGAAACGCTGCGTGTGCTCTCTTCCAGTGCCGGTCGGTGAAGATCACCATCCTGGGCGAGGAGGGGGTGCCCGTGCAGGTGGATGGGGAGGCCTGGATCCAGCCCCCGGGCGTCATTAAGATCGTGCACAAGAACCGAGCTCAGATGCTGACGCGAGACAGGGTGTGTGACAGAAAGGCTGTGCTGAGGTCCTGCTGCTGGCACGGCGTCTGTAATGGCTTGGTCCAGTTCTAGCATGGACACAGTGGTGCTTCCCAAAATGTTTTATAAGTATTTGTATAACTTGCGTAATTACAGTTCTATAATTTCCATCTTAAACTGGATAGAGAACTGTTCTTTTGGATAAGTGATAGCTTTGTTAGCTTTTAGCAGTTTTATTAGTGTTAATCTTGTATTCTTACTAATATATAGTAAGAATGGTCAGAGCTTTGCTTTCTTTCTGTCTGTGTACTTTCTTTCTGGTGTACTATACAAAGTCATATTAGCACGGTTGCATAAACAGGTCTATAATGTCATTTTCTCAGGATTTCTGCATATTTCTCTCCTCTACTAACGCTTCCTCTTCCCAATGACCCAGTCTCTGAGGAAGAGGCACAAGAAGAACCTAGTCACAAAGCCTCTGAGGAGTTTTCACTTGTCTGGGGTTTCTGTATGAGAGGTGTAACTGCCCCTCAGTTCTCACCCACTAACTGGATGTTGAATGTGGGGTGGAGTTCATGGCATTTGAACTGGTTCAGCAAATTTGTTACCTTTTCCCACCATTTATTAGGTTTGAGTCTTATATTAGTTTCAGATTTGGATCTTGCTCTCTACACAAAATGTGCTTGTATTATCACTGTCTTTGTTTTTTTACTGTTCTGGAAGATAAGAGTGAGAGAGCTTTCAGAAGTGACTTATTCGCCATACTAAGTTTGAAAAATATTAAATGTTGTTTTATTATTTATACAGCTTACATATTATATATATAAATCTAATTTTTAAAGTTGTTTAATTTTCACTAAAATTTTCTATAAATTGAAACTTAAATAAAATTTAAAAAAAATGAGTTGTTAATACAGAAGAATACTCCAAGTGCTGTGAACTGAATGTGTAACTCATTTTGATTAGGCCTTTGAAAACACCCTGAAGTCCTGGGAAGACAAACAGAAGTTTGATTCCTGTAAACCTGTCATTCGGTCTCCCTTGTACCCTCAGCAAGCTGTTGAGTTGGCTACAGAAGAAGAAGTTGCACAGATCCAGCTGTGCTCACAAGCTGCAGAAGAACTTATTACCAGGTACAGCAACATTCATAAGTTTGGGTTGTCAGCCTGGATGCCAAGGCTGAATTATTCATGCAGATGCATACACAGACTTAGAAATGTATGCTTTCCCTGGGCTTTGAGTAATGTTTAGTTGCTGCTCTAGCAGTTATTTATTTATTTTTTAAATTTAATTTTTAAGGCTCCACTTGTTTATATATGCTTTTCTTATGGATTTCTCTAATTTTATTTTTGAGTGTTTATGTATTTTGTTTCTTGTAAAAGCTGACTTTCTGAAGGAGCAGTGGAAATGGAAAACTGGAAAGCTTCTTGCAGAGAGGTTTTTGATTGAGACTTCTCATTTTGTGCAAAACCAAAAATCTATTTATTGTAAAAACTCCTTTAGAAGTCAATGGTTTGGATGTACCAACCTGAAATTAACTTCTCCTGATGATATTTCTCCTTAAAGCGTTGCTACAATTTCAAAAAACATGAGTGTTTTTCAATAAACCTGAAAGATTTTTTAAAATGTTGTACAATTAAACAGTTAACACAGCAACATTCAAGGAGCCCAAACTGCCAGATAAAATCTTCATACTTTTTTAATTCATTCACTCATTCATTGTTATTGCAGCTTTCTATTTCATTCTTAGTGATCAGATTCCTCACCTCTGTGTCCTTGTAACCCTAACCCTAACCACACACATCAGTGGTTAATAGTGAGCTGGTGGGATAAAACTGATTCCATGGCCTTTCTTATTTTCAAGAAATACTTTCTTCATAAGATGGAAGTCTTTTAATAGAGGAATACACTTAAATCTTCAAAGGAAAAAAAAGCAAACTGTTTTTTTTTTTTAAGAAAAACATTTTTTTACATCAGAACACTTTGTAGAGCTGCTATTCAGTTCATCTGTCTCAAGCACTGAAAGCAGTTCTTGGGGTTCTATGTATTGAGTCACACTGATAATATGAGAAAGTAATTGAACAACTAGATATTTGCTTTATACTGTACTGGTGACTTCAGTAGACATAGGAGAATAATTCAGGTTATAAATTAACTGAAGTGACAGTTAGCCAAGATATCTTTAAAACTTCGCTGTTGTAGAAATGGTCCTGAGGTTGTAATTACAGCGGGACCTTCCATAATCTCAAACGACTGCAGCCAATTTTGATGTCACATCCAAAGGATATTCCTTGTGAAATAGATGTAATGTTTTTTAAGATAACTTCAAGTTAACGTGCTAGAGTTTTTTTCTATAGTTTATATGAATTAATAGCCCGAACATTTTTGGTACAATTTTTTCACAATGTTTGTGTTCTGGGACAAATAAACATGTCTCAGTATTTCATAGCAGAATAAATAATCTGTGTCATGGATATTTTTATATGAGGTGCTGTATTGTTGGAAGAGATAACTTATATTTCAATTTCTGTTATAAAGGATTATATATTTTTAACAGTTTTGTGAAATGGATCTTTTTATATTATTTCACCTGCTAATGTTGTGTACTCTTAAGAATTTTTCTTTAAAGGAAGTAAGTAATATTTTTCTCTTCTTAAAATATTTTTGTAGGATCTGTGAAGCAGCAAAAATACATGGCCTCTTGGAGCAGGAGCTTGCTCATGCTGTCAATGCATGTTCACATGCATTAAATAAAGCCAACCCAAGGTTTCCTGAGGTAAGGGAAGAACAGATTTATGTATAAGGAAATAAATGCTGATATCACTGTGCATAAGCTTGAGACACAGGAGCTTTATTTTTACTTCCTGTACCCATATTAAAACAAGTTGGATGGTAATTCTTGAATTTTTTTATAAACAAGGCTCCTAAATATACATACACACGCTCAAATTTAAATGAAATTGCTTAACAGCTGAATAGAAGCTGTATCTTCTCTTTTTTTGTCATTTTTCCTAAGGAGAAAGTAAAGGGAAGGTAACTCCCAGTTCTGAAGGTGCTGTTCTGCAGCAGGGATTCTCAGCCTTTCCCATGCACGGGGTAATACCCCACAGCTGAAGCGTTTGGTAGAGATCATGCTCAATGATTCTGAAGTTTATTAATAATACCAGGAATGGGAATTAGGAGAACTTCCTTTTTACAGAAGAGTACTGAAGAGTGGAGTCCTCTCCTGGTGTTAGGTTGCTATGACATCTGAGAAGATGCTGTTTCTGCATTCATCAGTGTCCTACCCAGCTGATACTTGCTTTGTGAGTGTTGGGTGTTGGAACATTAATGTCACCTGAGATGCAGACCTTCAGGGGGGTGTAGTGAGGGGCATGGAACAGTCAAGAGGGAGATAGGGAGTTTGGATTAGAGGCACTGTAAAAGTATTTCTGTTGCCTTTTGGAAGCAACCAAGAATTTGCTCCATCTGCAACAGTGCCACACAGGCAGGTGTGCTCACCCTGTGCTTATTCAATGAAATGAGGGTGTGTACTAAGGTAAATCTGAGCAGGAATAAACCAAACTCGGACCAGCAAACAGAAGAGGCAAAGTAAGCTCACATCTGCTTGAGACAACTGTGTAGACATGTCCCCATATGGAGAGTGGGGTCATGAGAAAGGCTGAACAGATGCTGTTACTGCATAAAGGTCAGTGCTTCTGGATGCATTCACAGAAGTCTTCATGCTCAACTGTTATGCAGGTGCTATGCAGAGAATGCTGAGGGGTGAGGGGAAGGAAGTTCTCCAGTTCCTCTCTTCACGCTAGGCAAGCTGGGTGTCTTCAGGGATTGGATCCCAAAAAGTTTAATTAGGTAGAGGCTGTCTATATCTAATGTAAATTGATGATGGTACATATTCTAATTAACCTTTGCTTCTTAAAATATGGCTAGCAGCTCACTTCTGCTAAGGATAAGGTGAACAATTCAGATCAACACCAGTTAAATGAGGCCCACAACTTGTCTGCTGGCCTTTGTCCTTCATAAAAATTGTGGATTCATCTCACAGATGGCTGGGCACTTGATGATCTTCAGGACTATACAAGGTCATATTAAATGAAGTCAGGGAAAAGGTACTAAATAGATACTACATTTCTGTTTTCTAAGTGCTGAAGAAGTTGTCAGTGTAGAGCTAAGTCAATGTATTTCTCCTAGGAGAAGATGCTCAAGATCTGTGCTGTACACCCAAAGTACTTATTGTCAGTCTGACTTGAATTGCTTCAAATAATTTTTATGCTTCTTATACCCCAGAGTCTTACCAGAAACACAGCCATGGAGATAGCTGTCAATGTGAAGGCCCTACATAATGAAACTGAGTCTCTGCTAGTAGGAAGAGTTCCTTTGGTAAGGTCACCAAATACATTATTTTGTTCCCTCATTCAGACTATCTGTGCTTTGTTCTTCGCTGAGTTTTTGAATCGGTGCAGGATTTGTGGCATGCTACAAGAAGCTCTGTAAGGCCAGCTGGAGGGTATTACACTGCATTTGTTGTTTGGATCAGAATGAGTTCTGAATTCTTGTCCTAGGCTGGCATCCATCTTACCTCACTTCACGTGTCTAGAAGGTCCTTGCCTGGGCTCTTCTTTTTAGTAGTCAGTGGAGAGAAATAAGTGTTCTTGCTGAGGTTCATTCAGACTCAACTGTCTTGGAGACCTGTCTGAGAAAACTACAAATCATCTGGTGATTGGCATTTAAGGGAACTTTTGGAGTTCTTTTATGTGACCACCTTAAGAGTTCAAGGAGAACCTGGGGTCAGAGCTGTTCAGACATGGGCCAGGAAATCTCACCCTCCTTCTAATACCTGGCAGGATTTATTTTATAACTTTTAACTGGTTCAGTAGACCTCTGATGGTACTTGCAGACTTTGCATCTTCTTCTTTGGCTAGTGTTTCTGTGCCTAAAGTAGTGAAGACTGCTTAAGAATTGCTGAACCTGGATGTGCAATCAGAAGTTTCTGTTTGTGACTGTGAAGAGATGCAAGGTTCTGATCCAGTTTTACATCAAAAAGATACTCAGTAGGAAGAGTTACAACTTCTTTGGATTCTAAAGCAATTTTATTCATAACTTACTGTTTATTTAAATGTTATAATTAAAAATGCCTATCAGTAGGACTGTTTTCATTTAGCTGAGTTAGGTTATGTAACTTGCTGGTGCAAGTTCATGCACATTTTTACACAAGTGATAAATGGTACAAGTCTGTTCTATAGTAACCAAAGATTAATATGGTCCAAAGTCTAATAACAATTTAAGTTGTAGAAATAGTCAAAGATTAGGTTCATATGATCTGTTTTATTAATTTTTAGAAGAGAAAATTAAGTGTTTATATCTAAGAAAAGGGAAGAATATCTGTTGTTTTTTCTGACTGTTATTTCTAATCCCCCGTGTTCAAAATTGAATGGGGAATCAAAATACAGAAATTTGTTTAAAATTTAAAGTATTTTGAGGAAGAGGAATTAGAAGAAAATGTTTAAGTTGATGCAATACTAGAACTACTGTAATTTATCAAGGCAGTCTGGAAATGGTATTGTGATGGAAACCTTCCCATTGAAATGTTACCTGTTGTCTAGCCAGTTGTGAGCTCATTGTGTTGTCAGACTGGTCCCTTGTTCAGGCTCCAAAACTTAATTTGATTCATTTGTCCATCTCTGATTCTTACATGTTGTACTTCTGCTTCTCATTATGGTCTGTGCAATTGTATTCATGAGTCTACATCAAACCCATTTTTTAATAAAAAGGCCATTTGGAAGATGCCAAGGTAATGTTCCAGTGCTGTCCACTACCCTGGTTTGACATCATGCTTGTTTAGAACAGTGTCTCCTAGTCACAATAGCCAGGCACCCTGGTTGACCTTTTCCCATCTATTTTACAAATGCTGAAGTTGCATCTGTTCTGGTCCCTCATTCTATTAAAACAGAGGCAGAGGAAACGTAACGGGTTGCTGGATGCCTCAGCCACTTGCCATCCTACACTGTTCCCCAAATTATCTTTCTCCTCTGACAAAGATGGACATTCTTACTTTAATATCTTCCTCTACTTTTATTTTTGTGCCTTCAGTTCTCCCTTGCCCCTTTTCTGTGGTCAAAGCTCCTGAAAGCAGTAAATTGATGTCTTTTTTACATGTGCTACTTGGTAAGTTTTTTCTTTGGTTGCCATTTACCAGCTCTCAAGTCTTTTTATAATGGCTCCTGAAGGAGACAACAGAAATATATTCACATATCCAAGGAGACTGTGATTCCTGCCACCTCCTCTAAGATACGATTAACAAAGTTCACACAACAGTATTAGCTAGAAGACATCAAATAGTGAAGGAGCTATAAATACCATTTTAGTGAAATTGTAAGATAGGATTGTAAGATAGGACCATGAAGTTGATTTGTGGAACCTCCCAGATGGTTATAGCTGGAATTCAGTTTCCAAAAAAAAATTAAAAAACCCCCCATGTTTTGTCTAGATATCTTCCATTTTTGCTTTTTAAGAAGCATTTCTAGTCTGGAACAGAGCACAGTTTTCCAACGTGTTGAGGGAGAATTATGACAAAATGTTACATTTCAACTGAATGAAGTGATCTGAGCTCAGTGAAATAAAATATTTTCATATTAAAAATTTCATTTGGGAAGGAATTGAAAAAGCCTTTATTTTCATTATTTCGTTCATAGTGTTAATTTCCATCTTGGCAATGAGAAGCTTTTCCAAGATGATGTAGGAGGAGAATTTACCCCAAATTGTTGACTCTTCCTTTCCCAGAACTGCACTATCATTTTGGGTTTATTTCAGGAGCAATATTGTCAGTGCTCACCATGAGATGAGAGTTGGTTTGTCCCCAAGCAAAATGTTTTCCTTCAAGAATCAAGCAATTAGATAAATGCCTGTTGGGAAAGACAGAACTCTTTGCTTCATTCATCTATATAAAATAAATTACTTAATTTGTTAAAAATGAAAACACTGGAAAAGTTGTCACTTCTTGAAAGGCAACTGGGTCTTCCACTGTGCTGAACTGTTAAAGTCCGGGGGGGGGAAGGCAAAAGAAAGATCAGAGTCTGCTTGTGGACACTGAAGTCTCTGTGCTTTAGAAGAGAAAACAAGATGACAGCAGGAGGAAGTTTGTATTTCTAGTGCTACTGTGCTAAACAGCAGCGTCTGACTAGCTGGTCTCTGCTTTGAAAGGTAGTCACATATGCAGACTACTGGAGCAAAGGAAAGAAGGGTTTTTTTTTGGGTATGATAAATTAATGCAGTCTTGTAATTTATCACCACACCTCAACAACATCCAAATCTTTTTCCAGCACTAGAGATTTTCAAAGATTTTCTCACAGCTCCATTTAAAAGCTGCATGCAGTAGGAGACAGCTTAATTAGATCCTTTCAGGAGGATGCTCTGCACTGCTTTGGGACTACTTTCACCTCAAAGAGAGAAATACATGTTCAGATTGCTTTATTGCAGCTCGTTCCAGGATTCAAGTCTTTATCTCAAAATGATCTTAGAGCAACCCCAGATAAGTCCAGAAGAGCTTTCCTAGGGATCAGGTGCCTGCTTGCATCCTCTGCACAGCTTTGATTCACACAACAGCTGCAGAATAGTTTTCAGACCAGGTTTTAAGGAAATTTGGTAATCTCCACGGGTTTCTCAAGGTGTTGCTAGAGCTAAATTCCAGTAGGTCAGCAAGCCTCAAGCTTTTCACACTGCTGCCACTTACTTTTTCTCTTTGGCCTTCACTGATGTCTTTGGTCTTCTCCCTCCTCTCTGGGGCTGCATTGAGTCCCTCCCCCATGCCTGGTGCCCGCTCCTCCCACCCTCAGCCAGCAGCAGTGGCTGTCACTCCGTGTCTCACCTATTGAAGGGGTAGTGCAGGTCCTGTGTCACCACTGGGAGTCCTTTGGGAATGGAGCAGCCTCAGTAAAATCCATTTCCTCTTGCTTGACCACAAGACTTTTGCAAATAACAGCTCCAGGTTACTACCATCTATTCAGTTTTTTACACCACTTCTCCTACAAAGGTTTTCCAGGCTTCTGATCTTCTGGTCAGGTTTTGTCTCTTTTCACAGGATGGTAGGGGCTGGAAGGCACCTCTGGACATCATCTAGTCCAACTCCCCCACCAGAGCAGGTTCACTCAGGGCAGGTTATACAGGAATATAATAAACTGTTTATGCTCACCAAGAAGTAGTCACCTGTTTGTGTGTGATGACAACATATCTAGATTTAAATGTTATAACTTAAGAAAACTAAAAATACTATTTCTCTGGCCTGTTTATATGCAGCAGTTAGAATCTCCTCATGAAGAACTGTTGTCTGATGCTTTGCACAGTGTGGAAATAGAGTTGAGAAAACTTGCTGAGATTCCTTGGCTCTATTATGTTTTTCAACCAAATGATGATGAGGTGAGTTTGATTAATTCTTCCTGCTTCTAATTGACCTTAATTTTCTTTTGGTAGGCACGACTAAGTTAGAATCCCTCATGATCTGGGGAGGCAATTTCAGTCAGGGTGCCAGATCATTTCTGTCTGCTGTCAACAAGCTTCTAAGGGCTTTTTTTGTTTTGTTCCCTTTCCTGAACGCAAAGGTTTTGAATGGTTATTTAATAAACGAAATATGTATAATTTAAATCCTGACTTTATTCTTTGCAGAAGTAAGATTTGGTTTTAGTTTTTGAGATTAATTATGATTAATTGCCATCTCAAGCATGTAATTTACCTGTTGGTTTTTCTGTTAATTAAAGGTAGCTGTGGCTCTTCTCTCCTGCAGGATCCCCCTCTGGATTATGCTAAAAGAAACAACAGAAGTACAGTGTTCCGCATAGTGCCAAAGTTTAAAAAAGAAAAGGTGCAGAAGCATAAGACCAGCCCTCAGCCTGGTATGTGTTTTGAAATTGTGAGAAAAATAGTAGCATTTAGGGAAAACATGATTTTAATGGTCTTTCTTTGCAAGAGACAGCATCATGCGCTCTACTTAAGAGTAAAGTCAAAGTGCAAAGCAGTTGAGCCAACTGGCATCTTCATTAGGATGAAGATTTCTTCCAGTGCATTTAGAAAGCATTCAGTAGGATCCGAAGATTTCCAAGTGAACCAAAGAACTGCTTTGAAAATACTTTTATCATGCAACAGGACCTGTGTTTTTGCTGGTGGTTACATTTGATTAGCTCACAGCTATACAAGTCATAGGTACACACATTGTTTCCCTGTGAAGTTCCAACTCAGGTTTTTTATGTTAGCTTCAGAAGGTGCACAACAGCATTATCACACTGGTTTAATTAACCAGTTATTCTTAAATTTCAGATGGGTTTTAAGTGCAGTGAATGAGACAAATCAAAGAAAAAGCCATGATAGCCAGTATTGATTTTTTAATTAGAAGAAGTTGAACAAACTCCACTCTCCTCTCTTCCCACTCTTATCCCTGAGGGTACTTCCTTAAGATTATGTCCAGGTGTTAATCAGTGATCAGATGGTCCTAAAACTGCTTCTACATCTTTATCTGTATAATGCACAGGTGGTCATGATCTGCAAAATCTTGCAGTTGTTGATCAGACTTTGTATTTCAGATTAGATTTCAGATTTCACTTCATTGTAAAACCGATCAGCATTGAATGAAGTTTGAAAATTACAGCAATAAGTAGCATAACTTGTATTTTTCAAGAACTGTGGTCTTATTAGGACTAATGTAGGCAACTAACCTTAGAGAACAATGTTTTACAGAGAGCTTCTTAATGGCCTATGTAACACAGTATCTTAAAGAATACTTGTTGCATTAACTTAGAATACTGGGATCTGTTGATTAAAACTGGACTTGCTTGCTGCCATTGCTATATTGGAGGTATGACTGATATTTTAATTTTATGTGTTAATTAGTTTTTGAAGGCTTCTGCTCTCCCTGGATGACTACTAATAAGTTAATGGTATAAAGCAGAGCAGCGTTAGACTTCGCATCACTGATCCTAAGATGGTTTAACGTGAATTTGTTGGGATGTGAGGTTTTAAAGGCTTTACTGAGGAAACTGGAGTAAAGCTGAAAGCATGGCTGCCAAGCAAAGAACCCCAACTTTGTTTAGATACTTTCTCATGTTAACTGCTAACCTGTAACCTGCATGTAAAATGGAAATTGTAGTTTTTGTGGAAATTACACCTCTAACCTTTCCCTTTGCTAGCACGGCAATTCTACTCTGTTTTCCACTCTTTGGCCTAACCTTTGCTTGTGATGCATTTGAGCATGTAGAAATTAAGGGGGTTTTGCTCTTAACTTTGGTAGTTCAAAAATGGGGCACAGATGAAGTTGCTGCTTGGCTGGATCTGCTCAGTTTGGGAGAGTACAAAGAAATCTTCATCAGCCATGACATCCGAGGCTCTGAGCTTTTACACCTGGAAAGGCGAGATCTTAAGGTATTTCCTTTGTGCTACTTTTCTGCTATTGACCATTTTCTTTGACAAAACAACAACCAACTTTTCTTCTTTCCCTGCACTTGTTACGTGCTTGTAGCTTGGCTTCCACTGTGCAAATATGCAATAAACTAACACGCGCTGTCCTTTGGCTTGAATTTCTGAAGTGCTGACTTGTACTGGCAACCAAGAATATCTGTGTTATCCAAAATCTCCTCTTTTTGCACTCTGTAGGATGATAGCATTATAGTTTATGTCAGAAGGCATAGGAGAAGCACGTTTGATATCTTACTGACACCAGTGTAATACGATGTTATCTCAAGTGTTCGTCATTTCCATTAGAGAGGATCAGTATAGATCAGTTGAAGGTGGGGGTGATAATTTAGAATCTGTCTACTGCAGGGTCAGAAGCTATGAGCAGCTAACCTGCTTCAGGTGATTTATTGTACATGCATTGGATATAGTGGGTGTTAAAGAGAGAAGCAGCTTAATAAGTAAGTGGCAACATTGGATTTACATGGCGTTGGTGTCTGTCAAAGTAGAGCTTTGCCACATGTCTCCTCGGTCCTGACCAACCTCTGCCTGCTTTTAGCTGGGTAGATTTAAAAACGAGCACTTTTGTTTTACTCCAGAGTTGTAAAACTTTCTTCCTCTGAGGTCAGATTGGTAAAGTTTGCAGGGAGGAAGGTTGCCTACCAGTCTGAGGCTGTTATTTGAGCTTGCTGATCTCTTTCAAGAATGACTTGAGTGCATCCATTATATGTAATAGAGGCTATATCTTTGGGGATTCATTACATTACTTTTTCCAGGAACTCAGTAGTAACGAGTTCTTGATAATGTGCTTTGCAACTGCTTTTAGCACATAAGACAGGAAATTGGTTATTGTATAAATTGCAAACATTTAGTTTTGAAGTGCAAGTCATTGTTCTAGCCACAGTGCAGTAGTCTGCAGATAAAGGCAATGCCATCATACCATTGTCAATTTTTTGATAAAGTTTCTTATATAGTATGAAATCCTGACATTTTCAGGTAGTTTTTACATTGTGTGACTGTTGCAGTAGAAGGCAGCTGCTGAAGATACCTGTGTTTGAGCTGATATGTTAGGTTGTTATGTATTATTTTACCCTTTGATATTAGATTGCCTAGGCTTTTTTTCCCATGGCAGTTAAATTCCTTTCTTTCAGGATAATTCCTGACATGGAAGGACAGTTTCAGGACAGCCCCTTCCTGCAAAAATTTAGAAATAAAAAACTGTCCAGGGAATTGGCCACACTGTTCCAGTGGTGGGTGTTTCAAGTCCCTATTCTGAATGGGCACTGAACAAATGTAAAACATAACTGGGAAATTCAGCATCACAAAATACATAGGTTTTCTAAAATGTTAAAAAAACCCAAGTTGTTGAATTTGCTGGAATAAATGATGTTAAGATCAGTGTTAATCTAGGCATGGCTTCTGGCCATGCCTCCTTCCTAGTAGATACCAGTTTGGCTGGATACCCAGGAGACTGACCCTTTAACCACGTAAATATCTGCAGCAGGGCAATCATCAGCCTGTTGTCCCTGTTCAGACTCATGCTGATTCAGCACAAATATAATCCCATCAGAAAGACCTATGCCCTGAAATAAATATCTAGAAGCTTGTCTTAGAGACTACAGAGCCAGGCTCCTGTTGTCCCCTCTATCCTGTGCTGCCTAGAAGCACGTATGAGGTTTGGAATTGCTCAGAGTAGCTGGACCAGGAGTTGCTCTGTGCCAGGTGCCAAGAGAATAGAATCGTAGAATTTTAGGAAGATTTGGGTTGGAAGGGACCTTGAAGATCACCTAGTTCCAACACCCCTGCCATGGGCAGGGACACCTCCCACTAGAACAGGTTGCTCAAAGCCCCATCCAGCCGGGTCTTGAATGCTCCCAGGGCTTCCACAACTGTGGGCAGCCTCTTCCAGTGCCTCACCACTCACAGTAAAGAATTTCTTCCTAATCTAAATCTGCCCTCTTTCAGATTAAAACGATTACCTCTCATCCTATTGCTACACTCCCTGTAAAGAGCCTCTCTCCTGTGCTAGCAGAATTCTTGCTCTAGAGCTGCCCCACCTGCTCGGTGGCAGATGCCAGGAGCTCCCAAAGCCGTGCCCCTGGTGAGGCAGGCCAGGGTTGTTTTGGCCCAGCATGGCTTGTGCCCCGTGGGATGGGGCTGGGTTCAAGCAGCAGAGCTCATCCCTTGCCCTGCCCGTTGGGCACGGCGCGTGACCCCCGCAGGGAGCGGGTTGGGGGGGCCCAGGGCCTGCGTTCTGCTGGCTGGTGACCCCAGCTGCTGTCCCCTCCATGGCCTTGCCACCGGGTCACGGGCTCTTGGATGGTGTGCAGTGGATTTGCCTCTGTTACCCCCTGTCTGCCACAGGAAAAATCATGGCCTGGTTTAATTGACTCTCTAGGTCCACCTTTCTTTCTGTGGTCAAAAGTAGAGACAAAAAGCAGCACATAAAAGAGATTTGATGAAATTCTTTTCCTTTGCACGCGTGACTGAATGAAGAACTGGACACCTCTAATTAGATGGTGGTGTAGCTCGTGGATCCCATTTTCAGTTAGCTCTCTGTGGCAACTGCCAAGTGGAGAACGCCTCCAGGAGAAACCAGGTTGTCCACCCAAGCCCTTCAGTAATACCCCTTTTCCGGCCTCCTGTGCCTGAATTTACGTAGGGGAGTCACAGACTTCTACTCCCAAGTCATATTCTTTCACTTGAGGCAAGTTTGGGCAGTGAATTGTGAACTATGGTGTAGAAACTGTAGAAAGAAAGCCTCTTGTGACTTTTTTTGTTAATGTTATGTTACAAGCAAACTCACTGGAAAGTAGACTCTGATTTTTCTGAAATAAATGTTGGCAATCTTAGCATCAATAGCCCTGTTCCTGTGCACACACCTGAGGAATAAACAGATCTGTGGCACATTTGGTAGGACAAGAACGATGTCTCCTTAGAGCACTGCAGAGGTGCTGGTTTCAGTGGAGAAGAGGTTTTCATGCCTGACATTGGGTTGAAGAGCAGTGCTGAGGTCTGTGTTGAGGACTGGCATTTCATCTCTGCATTTCACAGTAGCATGCTTTGAGAAAGGTCTTGCACAGAAAATGTTTTCTAATATTTGTTAGACTTCAGATATGCCAGATGGCTTTTGACACTGGGAATGCAAGTGGTGTAGGTTTCTCATTTAGAATATGTTAATATTAAGGAATGTTTATATAAATTGTTTGGTAGTATTACGTTGGTGCTAATGTTTGGCCACAATCTATGGGGCAAAACTAAGTAAATGGGTTCTTGGCTAAGCAGACAGGGGCCTAGTCAACATAATAGAACACAGATGAAGAATTCTTGAAAGCTGTTGCAATTGCTTGCATCAGCTTTTCTTGCTCAACCTTTTTTTTTTTTTCCCCTTTCTCAGAATTTTTGGGCCTTACCTGCTGAAGGCTAGAGATGGCAAAGTGGTTAGGGAGAGCAGGAGAGGTGCTCCTGTAGTTTTAAGGCCAAAGCTGGGGAAAAAGAAGGGCTTCTTTTTCTACTGTCTTCCTCAAACTCTGGCTAGAGTTTTGTTTTCAAAACCATACTTCAATCAAATTGAATTTTTGTCACTTAGATATCAATTAAATATGGGGGAGATTATTTAGACCATGTTGAAACTCATACATGCACAAAAATGCAGAGATTTTTGGGGATCTTGCTGTTTGAATTATGCATGATATACTGCAGTAGCTGATGCTTTGGGATGAGAGAATTTCTGCAGACTTTCCTGCATCAGTAGTAAATTGAGAATCCTAGATAGCATCTAGTGTCAGGAGTGTATAAAATTCAATTTTCTTCAAACCAAAATATTACTCAAGCATAGAAATTCAGAATTTGTCTTGTTGGTTGTTATTTTTTTTTTCCCTGGAAGTGTGGCAGAATTTATCACAAGGGTCCCTAAAGTTGTGATGAGGCTCTTGAGACTTGCTGTCCTGATGTCCATTACAGCAGCGTCAGCTGGAATGGAAATAAACCCAAAACCTCTTCCATCTAAACATAGGCATTGCAGGTGATGCTTTGTAAAGGTTGGTGGAAATAGTGGCTGAGTGTTCTAGGAATTTCATTTTTATGATTAGACTCTTTCCTCTGATCTTTGAAGTCTGGCAGCATCTTGATTATTCAACAGAAGTTCTACTTATGAAAAATGTTCTGAGGAATTTGCTAGTTGTTAGCCTTTAGCATGTGTGGCTCCTTGTGGTTTGGAAGGTACCCTGGGAGGTTTTCCCTTCTGCAGAATTTCCTCCACAGAGCAGCGAGGCTATTCCAGTAGTTTCAATAGCTCTGTGTAGTTTGGACTCTTTGGAAAACAAATTTAGCATAAAAAGGGAAATATTCTCCAGATCTAAAACAATAAGTGTTACTGTTGTGGGGTGAGTTGAACAACTGCTACCTACATTGTCTTAACAATTTTCTTAACTTAAAATGAGCACTGTATTTTTTTGTAAGTGAGATGACCATTAGCAGAAAGAAATTATAAATTGATGTGATGTGGTAAAAAGGTTTTTCTCAAGTAGGTTTATAAACAGCACTTGATTTGGGGACTTTTATGAACATGTTTTGAACTCTTTGATGCTGGCATCTTTCTGCCAAAGTGCTGTAAAGGGTGGTCACGTGGTTATAGTTCTGAGTGTTTTTAGCTGAAGAAAAAAACAAGGTCTTTTTTATCTCCAGTGTAACCAGAATTCAGTCTTGACTTTCTGATAATTGTTTCATCTGTGGTGTGCTACCTTTACAATAAAATAATTAATTCATGCCCATCTTACCACCCCTTTCCTCCTTTGGAGAAATGCATATTAATTGTTTGCTAACACTTTTAAGCAGTATAAGTAATATTAAAGTTAAGTAATAAAATTAATTAAAATTAAATAATATAAAGTACAGAATTTCAGAGGTTTCTGTGGCTGTAGAAAGGAAGATATAGTCTTTTTCTAGAGTATGTACAGAATATTATATATGGTTTCATTTTTCACTCTGTATGAGAATAAGAATAATTAATTCAAGCTGCTTAACTACACACCTTTCCTTTTAATGTCTGCATAGTGGAAAATATTCCTATTAAAATGAAAGGATTTCTGTGTCAGAAAAATAGATAATGAAACTTTTCTAAGTTTTTTTTTTTTTTTTCATTTGATCACAATCTATTTATGTAAGATTTATTCTACAAATAAATAGTGTTTGACTCTTCCACTTGTTTAACATCACTAACACAAGGATTTTAAAGAGTTTTTCAAAGCCAGGTTCCAAGCAGATTTCCACCAAAATGAGATGAAAATTAATTAGCAGTTGGGGATCATTAGCATAGCTGGACATCCCATGGTGCTCTTCTGACTATCTGACAAGTCAAAACTGAAAAAAGATGCTGCTAAAGCTGTTATTAGTACTGGCAGATGTTTGCTGCAGAAAATTGCCTGTTGTCACTCATACAGAGATGGGTCCCAGAAACAGTATTGGGAACCTTTCAGCTGGTGTTCTAGTGGTGGCTACAAAGAGATTTATGTTTGTGCATTTACATTTTCCTTTGGGATGTGACTGTCACATCCCTGGGAATTTTTCTTCCAGCTCTCTAACCAGAAAGATCCATGTAAGAAGACATAATCCTTTTGGAATGAAAAGCAAATGCTTACCTTTCCTATTGCTCTCTAAAGGGAAGTTGTCCTACATTCCTGTAGCCTTTACGTCCACTTTTCCTTGAGAAACTGGGGATATTTGTGTTTGCTGGTTAAAACAGACATCACAGGGCCTCAGACCAAGTGGCCATTGCTGGACAGAAGCTCTCATCCATCGCATCCCACCAAATATTTGATTGCTCTATTAGAGAGGAGAAGGAGATTGTTCTTTTTTTTTTTTTTTTTTGTCAGAAATTGTGAAAGGTTTTTGAACTTAGAAGTCAAGCAAAAGATGTTTTTGACAGATATTGCAGTGCCTTGAGTTGTCATTATTGCAGGTAAGTAATTTTCTGTCTGCAAGACAGAACAGGGATTCATTGTATGCCCTAAGCAAGGGCCATAGGATCTTTCACAGTTAAAAGTTAACTGCAGTGATTCTAGACATCTGTTGCATGGCTAGATCGTAATCAGTGTGGGGTTTTTTTTCCTTTTTGTAAATAAACGTCCTTCTTTTTTTTTTTCCTCTCTCTCTTTTGTTTTTAAATTTCTGCAGGATCTTGGGATAACGAAAGTGGGCCATACGAAGCGAATTCTCCAGGCAATTAAGGAGCTCAGCAAGAACGCCCCGTTGTCTGACGTGTGATTGTGCTGGTGCTCTAACTAGAGAGAGAAGGGAAGGTTGCTGGAGAAGCAAAGCTGGTGCAGGCACTTTGCTGCCTTTGTAGTTTACTCTGTGGAAGAAGCAGCAATGTCTGTACAGACTGCTGTCTCTGAGTTCTTGTCTGGTGAGAAGCTTGCTGCAAGAGTACAAAAAGATTTGTGCCAAAAAAAAAAAAAGGAAAAGCTGATAGGTTCTGCAAAGGTGTTTTCTTGGTGTGCAGACGTGGCTGGTCTGGAGAAGCACATTTTGGTGGGTGGGTGGGTTGGTTCATGGGAACTGCAGGGACTGGCCAGTCCAGTGGAGAAGCGATCGCTTTGCTTACACGCAGCTCGGTGTGCCGCTCCTTACGCTGCAGCAGGACAGCCCTGCCCAGGGGAGCTGCTCCAGCCCTCCTCCCGGGGCACAGCTCCCCAGAGCCGCCCCTGCAGGAGACAGGAGGCTCTGGGCTCCAGCACCTGAGGCTGGCAGTGCCGCGGGAGGGGGCGATGCCCGCTGAGCCCCTGCGGGACGCTCGGCTGCCCGGCGTGCCTGCTGGGTCGCCTGGTCCTGTGTTGCATGGCACAGCTGATACTTTAAACACTTGAACAACTTTTATAGCGGCTTGAATGAGATTTAATTTATTACTACTTGAGTGTCTTTTTTTTACCCCGTTTCAGGCACTTTTCTTCAGTGTTGTGTTATGCCTAAAATGAGTTCTATGGCAAAGGAGGTGTGGGAACGTAGCGTTTGTGCCATATTCAGCAGATTATATGCATCAGATAGGATTGAACACTGTACAGTTAGATTTTTAAATATACCATGTACAGAAGGTGTATCAGGTAACTAACTTACGAGTATTTTTGAGAGACCGGTACCTCACAAAAATATCAGTTGGCTTCCTGCATGGAAAATGATAAAGAATTTCCTCATGGTGCATTTTAATGTAGTTATTCAGTTATCTTAAACATCTGTAGCATATTTGAACTTTTAGGCGCTAATGGCTTTATTTATTCTATTGTTCAAAAAGCAGGTTGAAAGATTAATGAAAATTTTTTACAGGATAATTTTATTTATCATACATATGAAGAGTTTTGAAATGTAGCAGCTGATTGATTTTTGTGGGGTAAGCTTTTACTTATTATTAATTAACTATTAATTTAAAAATATCTCTGTATGCATTTCTTTGCAAAGGTATCAGTTTGTTGCCTGACAGCACTCTTACATCAGTAGATCATAAAAAAGGTTTTATACTATGCATGCAAAGATGAATCACGTGCAGAATAGTAATCCATGAGTGTAAAGAGGTTAAAAAGTGAAAACCATCTTTGTTTAGAAATTGTGTTAGACCAGAGTTTATAAGGTTATTTACAGTTTACATAAACAAAGCATAGCTTCATAATTGAGTTTTTCAGTTTTCACAAAAATATTAAACTAGTAGAAAAATAATTGGCACGTATCTACAAAAAAAACCTACTTAAATGTTTGTGATGAGATGATATTGCACTACCTGCCAAAAAACCTGCACAGAATTGCTCTCTCCTTGCTGTTCCAAACATTTGTCATTGTGGCACCAGGAATACTTGACTTTGAATTAATTGAGTGGTTTTGACATCTCTTACAGGTTAAAGAGTATCTTAATATCTATTTACATTTTCCTCATAGGCAACAAAGGAAGGTTTCTTTGGGTTTTTTTTCCCCCCCAAGCTTGTTTTCCCTGTGTAGAGGGGCCAATGTCAAGTACAGCACCCTGGGTTTACTCTCACTTTCTTTTGACTATGATAGGAGTCATCCCTTGGAAAGTAGGTAGGAATCATCCTGTGGAAAGTAAAATTTGTTCTTCCCATTGTTTTATTGGGAAAAAAATTCTAAAGGAGCAAAACAGGCTTCATTCAGATCCAGTTATGGACTATGTGCTCTTGCTGCTGTGGGTTCAACAGGCATCACTCTGGGAGCTCTCTGGACATAACTGATTATTCTAGTAAATAAACAAAAGTAAAAGGCTATTTTCCATTAACGTTCCTGAAAAAAGCAAACTGAAATCCTTTTGCCAAGTGACATGGTTTTCATGCTGTGGTATGAAAAGCACATGCAGACAGTGGGCAGTCAGGCAAACCCTCAGCTGTTCTGGTGGGTTTTTCATGTACTTGACATTCACCCCTCTCGTGGCGTGCGGGTGGCCCCGCCAGGTTCCCACAGGCTGTATTCCCTCACTCTGTTTCCATAAGCTGTGCTGTGTCTGGACGTGTGGCAGCACTCCAGTGTATCCATGTTACAGCAGGCTGCCTGCTGCATCTGCTGGGCTGAGTCAGGGCAGTGATCCATGGAAGAACTTCCTTTGCTTTCCTGGTTGTAGGGTAGGCTCTCCTCACAGCTGCTGGCCTTGCTGCCTGCAGAGCACGGGCTGTGGAACAGGGTCTGCAGAGGGCCACGCCGAGCACCTAAAAAATGGGAGCTGCTTTTGGGCAGGGAAATGGGCAAATGTCTTTTGTAACACAGCGCTCTTACAGCACTCTTCAAATTACCTCAGTGTCGGACAACTGATCAATTCTCTTTGTATAATTCAGTTTTTTTAAATGACTACCAAAGAATTTAACTTCGATTGTCCTAAGCAGAAGATTTTCTTAAACATGCAAGTAGAAAAAAACATTGTAAGCATAATTTCTGCTGTATTTATTAGATACCCAGGAGAGAAAATTTTATGCAACTCTCTGCCTTAGACTAGTGTCAGCTAACAAATCCAAATGTGTTTGACATGGAGGCTCAAAACATTTTATGGGGTTTCTTTGCTGAGGTCATGGGTCGTAGCTGTGTTTAGTGATGTGGCTTTTCTAAAGAAAGGCTTTTGAACACAGTGTAACTATCTCATTTTTTACTGTACTTTCCAAGTATTGTGTTTTTTTCCTTACTGCTGTAAAAATCCTATCTCCTAGGACATATCATAGATAGATTTCTAATGAACTGAATTCTTTATAATTTAATCCTGATAAGTGCTTCAAAGCATACATCCCAGCATTTCAAGAAAAAATAAGCATTTCAAGAAAAATATCCCCTAAAAGTAGTGAGTATTTTAGGAAAGAAGCTATCCCAATAGATCTCGTGGAGCCTGATTTAATATGCTCGATTCATCAAGACAAAAAATCACTACACCCAGTTTACTGGATGAATATTTTTCCCCTAGTCAAATACACTTCATTTATGTGGTCAGTCAGCATACCTCAAAATCTGAGAGGAATACAGAGCAACTGGCATTTTTTTTTTGAAGTGGCTGGGATTCTTACAGAGGAAATGCTCTGCACCTCAGGGAGAGGAAGAGGAGGAAGCACGTTGTAATGGCAGCAGATTCCTGAGTGCATGTTTCTGGTTTGGCATTTTTGAATAGGATTTTTCCAGTTCACTGTATCCAATTGCTGTAGCAGCCTCTGATTTGGGTCATGCAAGTATTGCCTTTATAATGCCTAATGCCTTCTTCTTACAAACTGAATGGAACTGGGCAAGGTCTTAGGTTGTTTTTTACAATACTATAAAGAAAAACTTTGTTCAAAAATTAATTCTTTTATATGAGTGCAGTTGCAAATTCTCTTTGTGATACGTTTGTATGTATTTCCCTTTAGCCACTATATTTTCTCCTGAACATCTCTTTTCTTTCAAAGAAAAGTATTTTGAATCTGGAAGAAAAGTAAAATGTAAAGTGTGTGATCAAAACCCCTCAGACTATTTCAACCCAGCATTTCTTACTTCAGGACTGGAGTAAACATGCTTGGTCCTGTAAGTGATAAATAGAAATCATCTTTCTCCCTCCATCCCCACCCAAAGAAATTCACATTGCAGTGTTGTATAACTGTATTTCAAACAGGAGGAATCAATTTTTATTTATATAAAAGCCCATTTTGTATTTTCCTATGCTTTTTGTAGAGAAATAGATAACCTGCCAATTTTGACTTTTTAATTGAACTCAGCGATGCTAATTCACTTAATGAAAATTTCATGATGCCTTGCTAATGAACAGGGCTGTGTTTTTCAATGCACCTAGTGCTCCTTTTGGGAAGACTGACAGGAGACCTTTATTACATGTAATGGAAAATTAATATATAAAGCAAATATGAGAAGGGTGTTCCATAGTCCTACTTCAAAAATAGAGGCAAACCTACATATTATACACAGATAATTTTACAGTGGATATGTAAGACAAAACCCCTCCACAGTGATTCCATTTTGCTGGATGCATTAATGATTAGCAGTGATTGCATTACTAATGTTTACTGCTGTTTCTCCATTGCTCTTAGTCCCCCCAAGTATTGAGTTCTTGTATTTAAGTTTGACAGCTCTGGTAACTAATAATTAACAGTGCAAAAACTCTGTGAAAGGTAAAGTCACAAGTGATGTATATTCTTGAGGATAACCAAACTGGAGCAATATATGTAGCTTACAGCCAGGAAATCACCTTGTCACTCATGTGAGTAAACAAGAGCCACAGAAAATTATATGAATAATTATAAATTTGTTTTTTCACACCAGTAACACAAGTGCCTCTCACCTGCAGCATCCTGGGGGTTCCATTATACCCTGGGCTCTCCCAGTTTCTTGATTCTGTTGCCATAGATTGTGTTTTGTGGTAGGATTTTCATCGTACAGGTTTGATGCTGCTTACCTAACTGCAGAGATCTCCTGTTTGCAGGAGCTGTGCATGACTCTGTTACTGTCTGAAGTGAAAGGAGGGGTTTTTGATGGCTAGAGGAAGCTGAGGAGTTGGGACAGGACTTAAAATATCTCTGCTGCCTCTTCAGAGATGAATGGTAGTGTCAGCAGGATTGATAAAGCGTCATCTGGTGGTTATCAAAAGAAGATCTTTACTGGTTGTATAAATTCCTGTATTTATATATAGAATACAGTGTGGAAATCACTCTTTTTTACAAAAAGTGAAAAATTTTCTAGTTCTTTTCTACTACTGTTGCATTAGGTTTAATACCTCTGTTAATGGTTAGCTTATGCTCATTTCTGCCATA